GGGACCGGCCCCCGCCTCTCCGCCCGTTTCATCCCAATGCAAAGATGCCTCGAAACCTGGGATTTGGGGGGTGGCAGCCGCTCAGTTCCTCGTCTGGCTTCAGCCTCGCGCCTCCCTTCCCTTCCCGCTGCAGAACGACCCGTGGCACTTGACAATTTGAATTAAAACCCCTGAAATTTCCAGCCAACGAATCAAACATCCGGACAAAACTCAAGCAGAAACACGCACGCAAAAAAGCTCCTTGAAGGAAGTTTCCTTTAAGTTAGAAGAGCTCTGACCACAAACAGGCTCTTCCCTCACTCTGTTTCTCTATTTTTTCCCCACGGTGCAGGTGACAGGTGACAAATCTAGAATCTTATTAATAAATCGTGTCCTTACAAGGCCACGACACAACCTGAACACGAGCAGAAGGGCTCGGAAGGAGGATGTTTAATGAGCAGTGCTGTGTCCCGCTCCAAGGGGAGGGAAATTCCTCAGGCGTGGAGATGCCCCGGGTCCAAAAGGAACGACAGACAGAGGGTCCCGAAGGAGCGACAAAGTTTGATTAGTAAATGATCGACTTGGCATGGAAATTGCCACGAGTTAGCACCTGATCTTCTATTAGTAAATGAAAAAGGAAGGAGGGGTGAGGGGAGAGGTGAGGGAACATCACCAGTCCTGGCTCCAGCGCCGATCTGGGTGTCCAGGGTGTGCAGGGTCCCGAGGGTGCTGTGGGGACACCTTCTTATGGGTAAATTTTCCCCGCCCCGGCATCAGGTTTCCCCCTTCCCATGCAAATGAGGGAGTGTGCGCAATCCCGCTGCGGGACCGCTCTGGAATTGGGTCGGAGGGGTTTGAGGGGCTGTGGTGATCTCGATGTTCCCCTGCAGATCTCCCTGCTCGCTTCCCCGCTGGCCGTGTCCCGTGTTTGTCGTGTCTCTGAGTGCCCAGGGGGAGCAGAACAGCACCGGCCAATGCGCCGTGCCCTCCTCTCCAACCACCATCCCGCTCCTTATCAGCGTTTAGGGCACAGCCTTAACTCCTTGGAGCCTTGGCTGCTACAAGTGCTCAGATTAGAACGGGATGGAAACTCGGGGTGATGCCGAGAACAGAGGTGAGGTCATTCCTTACCTCCTCCAGCACCCCCCAAACCTCCCGGAGTCGGGAAATGGCTGATGAAAAGCGAGCCCGCTCCATCAGAGCCAGGTTCATTTGCAAGAGCATCCCGGGCGCTGGGGAGGGAAACAATCCGGAGCCAGGCTGGGAACTGCCCGAGCTTTGCATAACAAAGGGCACAGGGAGGGACACAGCAGGAACCGCTCATCCCGCATTTTCTGTTGAGGTGGTGAGGTGAGAAAAGGCCGGAGAGGGGGTGGAATTCCTTTGTTTGGGTCCCAGCACGGAGGCACCACCTTGAGCCGTTCCCCTGCCGTTGTATCGAGGTTAAATTATTGCGAGGCTCTGCAATGGGAAATCTGGGATGGAGTCTGTGAGCAAAGCTGGGTGAGATCCAACAGGGCTCACAGGAGCCGATCCCTGCTCAGGGAAAGCTCAGTTGTGACTCCACAGTGGCTCCTGGATGGGCATGGAGGGAAATTTCCTTAACAGCCACACACCCAGCAAGGGGAATCTTACCCATGCAGCCAGAATAACGGCCTGGATATTCTCATTTCAGCTGGTTCTTGTCAACAATTCATAAAAATTTTTAATAGACACGGGAGCACAATTTCCAGTACTAACATAGCAGCGTGCTGGTGTAGGACCCGGAGGGCAAGGAGTTAAAATCCCTGGAGCAAATCACCCTGTGCCAAACTCAGGGTAATTTATGGCTCCAGGGTGAGAAGCAGGAATCGGCCAACCTTAACCCCAAAAGAATTCCAGAGGCTACAGGGCACTGACTCCACACAGTACCTGTGTTCCTTGATTTAAAACTAAAGTATCACAATGGCAAATTCCTGATGTGGCAGGAATGGGAATTTCTGGAGCTGAGCTGGCCCCAGTAGGAGCTGTGGGCCCCAACACCGTGTGGGCAGTGCCCTGGGGTGCACCCTCCTGGGCACCAAGGAGTTAAAGTGCTGCTGTGTCCCAAACCTGGGTAACAAGGGACAAATTTAATTAGGACATGGCTGCAGAGGTGGACCTTCTGAAATTTTCAGCCCCTCTGATATTTCCAGTTTTGGGCTTGTCTTCCTCCTTTTCTTCCTCAACTCTTTCTGCAGTTGCTCAGTTTTCACTGACAGCAATAATTCAGCTCTTTCCCTCCCTTTCATTTCCTCTCTGGGTTCTTATTTCTCTCTACTACGCTTTTCCCTACCTAAATTCTCAAGTAATTCTCTTTCCCTGCATTCTGCTGAAGGAATAGAGTCCCAGGCTGGTCATTTTTCAGGCCTAGGTTTATAAAGGGTTCTGTAGAAGGCCAGGAGATAAAGGGCTGTGTCTCAGCTGTGGAGCCAGCCAAGGACTGTTGTGTGAGACCCTGAATGGGGAAGGACGGGATGTGGCTGGAAAAGGGGGGCACACGGAGCAGGGACAGCTCTTTTTTGGGACAAACACCCTTGTTCTGGCTCCTGGAGATAAGCACAGCATGCACAGCACAGGGCAGGGAGTGTCCACCAAAGGCTGATCAATCAGAGGGGATCAAAACCACCAGAGACCCCCTGATCCATTTCTTAGAGGATCCAGAGGCATGGGCTGTGTCTGCTGAATTGTTTGCATCAAAGTGAAAAAAGCAGCCCCAGGGTGTGGAAAATGTGGCTGTAAAAGGGTGATCCAGGGCTCACAGGGCACCTCTGGGATCCTGAACACAGCTGGATTGATGCTGGAGCCAGGACTGGTGATGTCCTTCCCTTTGTCTCTCTGATCTCCCTCTCTCTTTCCTCTTTTCTTTTACCTTTTTATTTCTCTTCTACCAGTAGGGCAAAATATACCAATTTCCATGCTGAGAGTGGAATTTGCTGTTAGAACTTTCTGTGAGCTTTTTTTTGACTCTTCTGACACCTGTCATTCCTTTTTGACCATGGGCACGGTACAAACCTTGAGAGTTTCTTTCCTCCTGGGAGTGGGGCAGAGCTGGGGGAGGAGGCTGCAGGAGCAGAGCTGCCCTTACCCCCACCCAGCAGATCCTGTTATTAGTGCTTGGGACACAGCAGCTCATTAACTCTGTGTTTCCCAGCTTTCTGCAGCACCTCCATGGTCTGCTTTCATAGGGTTTGGAAAACTCAACAAACTCAGAAGTCTGTGAACAGTGTGGGAAAAGAAATGCAACACAACTTTAAGGCTGTGCAGAATTAAAACCATATTCCAGGCTCTCTGGCCAACTTACAACTCCCAGAAAAAATGTCAGCCTTCAGGAATCCTTCCTTGGGGCTCAGCAGCGAGAAGCCCCAGGATTTAAGAGTGGGAATGAGCTGCCCTCGGGCTCTGCAGCCTTCTCTCTGTTTGCCACAGAAGAAAGAGGCTTCCTCCTACAGCCACAGGGGCAACACTTCCTTTCCCAAAGCACCTCACCCAAGTGTGTGTTTCCTGACACCGTTTCACTCCTTAGCGGACAACCAATACCTTTAACTCACCTGTTCCCAGCCCAGTCACTCGTTAGTGGACAACCAATATCTTTAACTCACTTGTTCCCAGCCCAGTCACTCATTAGTGGACAATAAATACCTTTAACTCACCTGTTCCCAGCCCAGTCACTCATTAGTGGACAATTAATATCTTTAACTCACTTGTTCCCAGCCCAGTCACTCATTAGTGGACAACCAATATCTTTAACTCACTTATTCCCAGCCCAGTCACTCCTTAGTGGACAACCAATACCTTTAACTCACCTGTTCCCAGCCCAGTCACTCGTTAGTGGACAACCAATATCTTTAACTCACTTGTTCCCAGCCCAGTCACTCATTAGTGGACAATAAATACCTTTAACTCACCTGTTCCCAGCCCAGTCACTCATTAGTGGACAACAAATATCTTTAACTCACTTGTTCCCAGCCCAGCCCAAGGACTCCAGATTCCTGGGATAACATTTTGGATACATTTTGGATCCTTTCTCTCTATTCAGACAACTCTTCTTTGTAACACACATCGCAAATTGTTCCATGTCAAGGTGGTTTCTCTCCCACACAGCCAGCAGTCCCTCCAAACTGCACCTCCCCAAACCCACAGGCACTGGTGAATGCTGTCTAACACAAAACAACCCCCAGCCAGCTCCCTTTGCCTGGGAGAGGCTCGGGATGGCTGCACCACAGCCTCCTCCTGCCATCAGGGTGTGCCACAGCGCTGGGGGATGTCCTATATGGAATGCATCACGGAGCCCCTGATGTTCCCGCAGGGCCAGCTGACCAGCGGCACGTGGGTGTCCTGCATGTGACCCTCCTGGTGCTTCAGCAGGCTCCTCTTGAGCACAAACCTCTTGCTGCAGAGGGGACACTGGAAAAGCCTCTCCCCCGTGTGCCGGCGCTGGTGGTTCAGCAGGTAATCCTTCCTCCTGTAGGTTTTGTCACACTTGGAGCACTTGTAGGGCCTCTCTCCTGTGTGACTCGTCTGGTGCCTCACCAGCCACGAGTGGCACACAAAGTTTTTCCCGCAGTCGCTGCAAATGTAGGATTTGCCCCGGGCCTGGTTCTGCTGCTGGGCTGGGCTGCCCCGGGCCAGGGGCGGCTCCCAGCAGGGGCTGGATCCCGAGGTGTCCGTGGGGAAGCTCTCCTCGTTTTCAGCAGCCTCCTCTGCGCCCAGGCTGGGCCTGCCTGGGCCTGGGGGAGTCTCTCCGCACTCAGAGCGGGGCCCTGGCCCCTCACAGGGCATGGGAGCAGCTCCAGGGCCCATTCCCTTCTCTCCTGGGCCCATTCCTTTCTCTCCAAGGCTCATTCCCTTCTCTCCAAGGGTCATTCCTTTCTCTCCCAGGCCCATTCCTTTCTCTCCCAGGCCCACTCCCATCTCTCCTACGTGTGGGTGCAGCAGAGGGAACATCCTGTCATACGTGGGGCCTGGAAATATCTCCCCTTCTCCCTGCAGGTCCTGCTGTGGGCAGCTTCTCTCACACCTGTACAGACAAGGCCTCTTTTCCAGGCTCTTTTCCTGAGCACTAAAGAAATCGTACTGAGCATCACCTCCGAGGCTGTTCCCATTCCCTGTGGGGGCTGTTTCCATCATTTCTGAATTCCACTGGTTGTCCCACGTCACTCCATGGCTGGGATCTTTGGGGAACACCTCTCCCGGCCTTCCCGGTACCTCTAAGTCACAGGTCTTGCTCTCCAAGGAATTTGCTGGATGGTCTCTCTTCAAATTTTCATCTGGAACAGAGATTTCAGAGATTTTTAATTCAGGAGTCCCCTTAGGAATGTCCCTCCCAGCTTAAAGCCACATCTTTAATACTGAGGGAGGAACAAAGTACCGGCATCCACTGAAACAAAAATTTTATTTTAAGAAGGACTTTTTTCAACTGTATTTTTTTAAAATCTACATAAAAAATGACTGCTGCAGTCTCAGATTCAGCCTCTCAGACAGATAACAGAGCAGACACTGTCTCACCTCAGTGTTCCCAGCTGCTCTCCACACACTCTCCTGAGTATCTCCAGGAGCTGGGTCCAAGCAGGGCCCTGAGCTGGCTCAGCAAATCACAGAACTGTGGGATCTCCTGAGCTGGGAGACACCCACAAGGATGGAGCCCAACCTCTGGCCATGCATGGACACCCCAACAATCCCACCCTGTGTCTGAGAGTCTTTCCAAATGCTCCCTGAGCTCTGGCAGCCTTGGGGCTGTGCCCATTCCTTGGGGAGCCTGTTCAGTGCCCAACCATCCTCTGGGGAAGAACCTTTTCCTGATATCCAACCTAAACCTCCCCTCCTGAGCTTATCAGAAGCACTCTCTGCTCCCAGGAACTTGTGCTGTCTAACGAGCACCTGTTTTTTGGTGAACAGCCTCAGAACCTATTTGCCTTGCCTGAATAACAACCCAAGTGGAGTAACATTTTTGTTATGGAACTTTCAAAGAAAGTCACTGACTCAAAATTGCAGCCAGGATGGAAAATCACTGATTAAAGCCCACTCTCCTGCAACCCTATAAACTGAGGTCCAAAGTGAGACCCACTGAGCTCCCAATTCCCAGAAAATCAAGGAATGTGTGTCCCAAACTCTGATAACTGGATGGCCATGGAGCCATGAGAAAGAACAAGATGTGCTGGAGAAGGAGGTGCCATGGGAGATAGGGCAGCATTTTCTGGGACAAACACCCTTGCTGTAGCTCCTGGAGACAAGCACAACACAGAGCAAAGGCAGGAACGAGGTCAGGAAGTGGCTATGGATTACAGGGGTGGGGATCAAGACCACCAAAAATCCCCAAAGCCTCCAAACCATTTCCAGAAATGCCTGGAAGAACTGACAGCATGGGAAGTGAGAAACTTCCCCTCAGAGCAGGGAACCCTGACCATGAAAAGGAGTGAGGGTGCCCTCCCTCCCCTCATCCACACTGCTGACAAAGACATCAAACACAGTGGCCCCAGCATGTCCCCAACCCTGGGACACCACTGGCCACCAGCTGATGTCCCTCCCTTGCCCAGCACTGTGGGCCCAGCCCTGAACCAGGTTTTTATCCACATAAAAGCAGCACAAACTTGATCCATGCAGCTCTGGGCTTGCCTCAACATAAGCCCAAGCCAATGCCTCTGACAGATTTTGGCTGGCTCAAGAGGGAAGGAGCCTCTTCAGCTGACAGAATCCAAAATTTTTGTGACCAAAGATTAACCAGAAGATTGAGGTTTGTTCCAGTTCTCTCATGGTTAACATTGTGAGGTTGTTACATTTCATACAGTATTAAAAAATACCCTAAACTGGATTTACTGTCCCCAAGGTCCCAGCTGAAATCCATTACTGACCTGTACTTGGATCTGCAGAGATTTCCTCTTTCTGCAAGTCCTGTTGTTCAGAGCAGGGTGGCTCCTCTTGTTTAATCCACGATGAAACACCCCTTGCATAAGTCTGAAATCCTGTTCGTTGGGGAGAATTTACACAACTGAGAAACACCCGGAGAAGACACAAAGCCTGGATAATTTGAGAATGCACAAAGGTAACAAAGCAGCAGGGAAAGCCATTAGGGGGCAATTCCTGCAGTGGAGCTTTTGGCAGATCCTCACCTGTGGCAGGATCTCTCTGGAGGTGCTCACCCTCTGTGCCTGGCAGCTCCCTGGCATCCACCTCACTGCCCTTCCTGGTCTGACTGGATGCCTCAGGCTCGTAAAATCCTGGCTCTGCTGAGGGAAGAAGTCAAGGAGAAGTGTATCATACCTGCCTAAACTCGGGATTTCACAAGGCTGAAAACCTGCTCTGGTAAGTACAATTCTAGTGGAGCCAACAGGCAGCACCCCTACTTTTTAAGAGTGAGGAAAATCTGCAAAGCAGAGCAGCTGATTTGTAAAACAAAGAGGTTCCAAGTGAGAGGGCAAAGAACAGGGCCCTGGGCTCTGCAGCCTTTCAGGAGTCTGTGGGCTCCTCCTTACCCAAAAAAGTCCCAAAAGGGAAAGGAGGAGGGAAAAAGCAACCTGAAGGAATTTAGGGAGAGCCATACTTGGATAAAAACCAACCATGCAGCCACAAACTCCTAAATATCCGGGAGAAGAGAAAGGGGCAACACCAGCCCTCACCTGGGGGATCTGCTGGCAAGTCTGCTCAGAACTTCTTAAAGATTTGGAATACATGAGCAGAGGTGGGGAATTTAATCACACAACCTGGAATTTAATCCCTCTGTTTCATTTCCCCTCTGAGGTATGCAGTTACTCACCTGGGCAGGGCTCTCCAGGAGCTTCTGCAGCCTCCTCCTTCCGATCTGCAGTGCACAACCCTTCCTCTTGCTTAATCTGGATTATGCTGTCCTCTGTTAACAGGAACCAGTGTTATTTTAACACCATACAAAATTAACTCCAATTGTCAGCCCAGCCCAGGAAGATCTGCTCTGTTCTAGCTCACATTCCAGTTCTAGTTCCTGCTGACCAAGGCCTCTTGAACAGACCTGAAATGTTGGTTACAAAACCCTCAGCAGATGTTTGAACCTGAGAAATGCACAGAATTTTCATACAAGTGGAAACACGTTCTCCATGGCCCCAGGAGAGGCCAGAGCCACTTGAATTCTTGTCCTTGAGTTTCATTTCTCTCTTGGTGCTGCCAAAGTTCTGTTGTTTTCTTTTCAATCCCTCTCAGTCACACACCACTTCTCACCCATCAGAGAAACACTCATGAGAACAGAGTTCTTAAACAAATTCATTCAAGTAATGAGAAAAGATAAAAGAAAACAAAAGTCTGTAGAGTAAATAAAGAAAAGCAGATGGGCCAGTGCTCTGCACCCTTACAGTGCAGATCTGGCCAAGGGACTGGAGGATTTCCCAGGAGAGAGAAAGGAAGGGTGCGATGGAAAGTCCTGGAAAGGCTGGTGGGGATGGAATGCCTGACAGCAGCAGATGGATGACCAAACTCAGCACAGCAAGTGCCTTGGAGAGGTGTTGGTCATAGAATTGTGAAATTGTTGAGGTTGGGAAAGCCCTTAAGGTCACTGAGTCCAACCATTCCCTCAGCACTGCCAAGGCCACTCCTGAGCATGTCCCCAAGTGCCACATCCACAGGGATTTTAAATCCCTCCAGCAATGGGGACTCCACCACTGCCCTGAGCTGGACAGACTTTTTGGAGAAGGAATTTTCCCAATATCCACCCTGAGCCTGCCCTGGCCCAGCCTGAGGCCATTCCCTCTCCTCCTGGGAACACAGGAGTTCCCTGGGAGCACAGCCCAATGCCCCCTGGCTGTCCCCTCCTGTCAGAAGCTGTGCAGAGCCACAAGGTCCCTCCTGAGCCCCCTTTTCTCCAGGCCAAAACACCACCCACACCCCAGATGTCACCAGATCCTGGCAGGTGCTCAGTGTCCCACATCCCTCTCCCACCATTGCCCTGACAGCACTCACCGGAGCCGGTCTCTGCGGGATTCCCTCTCACATCCCGCTCCTGGCAGCTCCGGGCCCCCAGCTGGTTCCTGCCCTCAGCTGGGGCCTGGGCCTTGTGTCCAGCGGCGTCCGGCCCTGCGGGGAATGGCGGCTGAGGGGTGGCCGGGGGCACCATGGGGCTCCTTCACTGCCCACCGTGACCCCGGCCACCCTTGTCCACAGCATTCCATGAGGGAACAGGGTCCCTCTCAGAGCTGTGAGGGATTGGGGTCCACCCAGAGCTATGAGGGGAGAGGGTCCCCGCTCACAGCTGTGAGGGATCAGGGCTCTACCCAGAGCCATGAGGGAACAGGATCCTCAGAGCTGTGAGGGACTGGGGTTAAGCCCAGCGCCATGAGGGAACAGGGTCCCCCTCAGAGCCATGAAGGAGTAGGGTCTACCCAGAGCCACAAGGGGACAGGATCCTCAGAGCAACGAGGGAACAGGATCCCCCTTGGAGCCTTAAGAGAACAGGATCCCCCTCAGAGCCTTGAGGGATTTGGGTCCACTCGGAGTCATGAGGGAACAGGATCCCCCCTCAGAGCTGTGAGGGACTGGGGTCCACCCACAGCCATGAGGGGACAGAGTGCTCAGAGCCATGAGGGATCAGGGTTCATCCAGAGCCATGAGAGAACAGAATCCTCAGAGCAATGAGGGATTGGGGTTCAGCCCAGAGCTGTCAGGGAACAGGATCCCCCTCAGAGCTGTGAGGGATTGGGGCTCTACCCAGAGCCACGAGGGAACAGGATCCCCCTCAGAGCCGTGAAGGAACAGGATCCTCAGAGCTGTGAGGGATTGCGGTCCAGCCCAGAGCCATGAGAGAACAGGATCCCCCTCAGAGCCATGAGGGATTGGGGTTCAGCCCAGAGCAATGAAGGAACAGGATCCTCAGAGCCATGAGGGAACAGGGTCTACCCAGAGCCATAAGGGGACAGGATCCTCAGAGCCGTGAGGGAACGGGATCCTCACTCAGAGCTGTGAGAGATTGGGGTTCCACCCAGAGCCATGAGGGAACAGAGTCCTCAGAGCCATGAGGGATCAGGATTCCACCCAGAGCCATGAAGGAAACAAGGTCGTCTCTGATCCATGAGGGCCAATTCCCTCAGAGCAGTGAGGATTGGGGCTCCACCCAGAGCCTTGATGGAACAAGGTCCTCAGAGCCATGAGGGATCAGGGATCCTCTCAGAGCCATGAGGGGTCAGGGGCCCACTTAGAGCTGTGGGATATCAGGGTCCCATCTGAGCTGTGAGGGGCTTGGGGATCCTGTCAGAGCTATGAAGGATTGAGGATCCTCTCAGAGCCATGAGGGAACAGGGTCTCCTCACAGCAGTGAGGTGTCCCTTTCTGTGTCACTTCACATTTTGTCTTGAATTCAGGACTCTATTTTGCAATTCAAACAACACAAATCCCAAAATAGCTCAGAGATTTGCTACAAATAAATGTATTTGTCTCTGAAATTCAGGAGAGCTGGGCTGGAACAGAGAAACTGACTGACTGTAAAATATTGCATCACCGCTGATATCAAAGGCAGCTTCAAAAAGTGATGAAACATGGAGCATGTAAAGTACAGAAACAGCCCAGAAAGGGCACCTCAGGTTGTTTGTAGACTAATCCAGAAGTGCTGCTGAGATCATCCCAAACAGAACTCAGGATATTCTGGTCACAAGGGAATCACAAATGTCCCTCCACTGCTTCACAGGGCCACAACTTTCCCTCTTTATCCCAGAATACATCCTGCTCTTATGGAATCCTGGAATGGTTTGGGTGGGACCTTAAAGCTCATCCAGTGCCACTCCCTGCCATGGGCAGGGACACCTTCCACTGTCCCAGGCTGCTCCAAACTCTGTCCAGCTTTTCCTTGAACACTTCCAGGGATCCAGGGGCAGCCACAGCTTCTCTGGGCACCCTGTGCCAGGGCCTGCCCACCCTCAGCCAGGAATTCCTTCCCAATAAGCCACCTAACCCAGCCCTCTGCTGGAAGGGTTAAAAACAGGAAGCCTTTGCCTCAATATTATCCTGCAATTTAGGGCACAAATAATATTTTTTAAAATTAAGCTGTAAAATGTTTTAATCCAAGTTCTAACTGGACAAAAACACAGAGCGTATTTTTCCCTCTTTCTGCACTAAACCAAATTTTAGGGAGAGTTCTAAACTCATTTGTTCCTGAGTGAGGTCTGATCGAGCAGATTGTGATTGGAAGGTGGTTTCTGTCTCCAACAATTAAATCCACAGGAGACGAAATGCAACAGGAACTCAACAGTTCCATTGTCATGACACCATTGAATCAAGAGGTTTGATGTTTCCATGACATTTTAATGTGAAATGAACTGTTGATTTCATGGATTTCCTTGGGAGGGAAAAACTCCATTCAAATCATCTGACAGTCCACAGAATCCATGGATTCTTGGATAAGAGCAAGCTAAAAATGCTCTTCACAACTGAATATTTTGACTGAAAGCCCAAATTTTATGCTGAACCAGAAAGCATAAACTTCTCCATGGGAAACTGATTTCTGTGTGACCTAAACAATAATGAGGTCATTATTATTTAGGTGTTTTGATTTATTAATTCTGTTTATTTTCAAGTTCTCTCCTCTCCACCCTCCATATTTGGGTCTAAATTTCTCTGTAAATTGCAATATTCTACCACTCTTGTGACAGCACTCACAGGGACTCTGGAGGACAACAACCCCCCTGAACTCATGTTCCAGAACAAACAGCTGCTGTCAAACACAAGTGAAATGCACCAAGAAATACAAAACCAAAAAAAAATCTCAAAACAAACCACAAACTAAACATTTTTTCTCTTCCTGACTCAACTCATCACAACCACAACACTGAAAATGTTTTGCTGGCTGCAGAATTGACATGATCTGGGTGAAAATTGCATTGTGATCTTATTTATGCTCTATTTTTAGACATTTTTACACTTCAGGCCTGTTTGGATCTTGGATACACGGGAGAACCATTGGATCATGGAGAACCATTCTCCTGCTCAGGTTCCACCACAGTATTGAAAAACAATTAAAAACAATTGAACACCATGGGGTTTTTTTGATTTGAAGTCAACTTCTGTCTCTCCATCCATAAGGTACAATACTACAAACTACCATTTACAGCAGGAAGAATTATGTGAAAAATAAAAAAAGATTGAAAGAAAGCATTTAGAACTTCACAGGCTTAATGTTGTTTTTATTAAGAATCAAGTCTTTACTGCTGCAGATTTAATCAGCATTTTTCAAATAGACAGAAACAAGCTCCCTGCCTTGAATTGTTCTCAACTTAATGATTCCTCGTATTCCAAAGGATTCATTCTAGGTATGCCAGAATCCTCACGTGCGGTTCCTCATTCTCCCAGCACTTTCATCTTCCCAAAAATAAACCTCTCCCCAGGTTTCCTGCCCACTCCCCACCTCAGCATGGCTCCTGCTGTCTCCCAGTGCCTCCCCTCAGCCCCCACATCCCAGCACACTGTCCCACAGTAGGAATGGCAGGGATTCCCACACCCCCAGCAGCACAGGGCGCTCTGGGATCGCTCAGAACTCACCCACACCGAGCTCAGAGAACTCCACACCCTCCATGGCTCCCTGCTTCTTTGCATGTGGCTCTTCCTCCTCTTCCTGCTTCACGGTGACAGCGAAGCTCCGCTCTGGAACGCTGCTGTCTGCTGAGGAAAAGAGGAAACTCCTTTACTGGCAAAGAGGAGACTCCTTTACTGGTTATCCTCCCTTGCTGCCCCAGAAGTTTGTGCCCACTCACCCACCCTGCTGCTACACATAACCTTCAGCACCTTCCATTCCTGCTCCTGGGAGCTCTGCTCTGCCCTGCAGAAAAGGGGTTCCCCCTGTTCCCCCCAGTTCCAGAGGGTTCTCCACACCCTCGAGGCCAGGCCCTTCCACAACACTCACCATGGCCAGGTTCAGCCAGCCCTGCTCTTCCCTCCTGGTTTTCCTGCGCTTCTCTGCTGTCCCAGCTGCTCACGTTGAGTTCAAACAGCAGAGCCTCTGCCAATGCCAGAAATCATGGAATCAGGTCACAGAATTCCAGGAGGGTCTGGGTTAAACCTGTCCCACCCTTTGCCATAGACAGGGACACCTTCCCCTATCCCAGATTGCTCCAAGCGCTGTCCAACCTGGCCTTGGACACTTCCAGGGATCCAGGGGCAGCCACAGGGCAATCTGTGCCAGGGCCTCACCATCCTCACAGCCAAGAAAGTGAGGATGTGACACAAGTCTTCCTTGTAATCCTAAAAATCAAAGCTGTTACACTTTTTTATCACCATCTGTTACTCCCCAGAACCTGCTCCTTTTGAGATCCAGAAGTTCCCTCAGAGCAAACCAGGACCATCTCCTTGTGCCAGCCTCTGTGTGGTGACAGCACCACACGACCCTCACCCTCAGGGTTAAAGCTTTGATTCATCCCTGGCCTGCACCTGGCTCTGCTGGGATCTCTCCAGGAGCCGCCTCCTCCTCACTGCAGGGCGCTTCTCCTCCCTGGAGCCGGGACAGGAGGGCAGGTTCGGAGATGACATCGTCTGACAGGGAACAGAGAAAGGAATGAATGTTTCTGTGCTGCATCCACAGGGAGGAACACACCCCAAAACCAGCTCCTGCAGCTACAACACACGGCTGGGCAGCACAGAGAGTCCTCAAACACAGGCAGCAGGCTCACTGTGTTCCCACAAATCTGCTTCCCACGTCTGGCAGAGATTCCCTAACCAGAAAGTGCTGATAAGTGACGCAGCAGCAACACTCACCCAGCAGGACCAGGGCTTCTCTCTTCCCTGTCAGCACCTTTCCATACAGCTCCCTCTGCCACTCCTCCAGGTTCTCCCACTCCTGAGTGGAAAAGCCGGTGGTATCGTTTTCCAACGCCACAGCCGGGGCCTGCAGTCCCAAAAGTGACACTCAGCACAGCTCCTGGAGCACAGAGAATCCTACTTTCTACTTATCCCTGCTACCAGGTGTCAGGGAAAGAAAATTCCTTCCTTGGGGCATCCTCTGGACACTGAGAGTAACACTTTGGAGCTTTGTTAAACTTCGGGGGATGAACTGCATATTCCACGATATTCTTACTTCCCCCTGGAGCCTGATCCCATTGGGGACCTCAGCGCGGGGAAGAACTTCCCCGCTGTTAGTAAAAACGCGACAGCCCATCCTTTGGTAGGGAAAACCAGCTGAATCTAACAATACACAGGAGAATCACTTCCTGCTTCGTGCCTTGGCACGACAGGGGACAGAAGAAATGTTGGCAGAGAATGTGGAATGATTTCCATGGCGGAAGGCTGAGGTGAGGAGCAGAGGAACCTCCGCGCTGTTCCTGTCTCCCCCAGGCCCCTTAAAGACCCATCCGATACCTTGGGGGCCTCCAGCCCGGGGGGCAGCCGCAAGATCCAGAGATTCCTGTTCTTCAGCAGGTTCTCCATGTTCTCCAGGCGCTTCTGGAGCCGCCCGTACTCCTGGACGAGGGTGCCCAGCGCCGCGCACTTGCTCTCCAGCTGGTTCCCGAACTCCCCGACCATCTTCTCGCAGTCCTGGTGCTTCTTCTCGCTGTTCCCGGCGCGGTGCTCCAGGCTGAAGAGTCGGGACGCGTGTGCGGCCACGCTGCGCTCCAGCGCCTGCACGGCCGCCACCACGGTCCACAGCGAGATGGTGCTGCCGCCCGCCAGCTCCATCCCCGCACCGGGAACGGCGGAGCGCAGCGACGGGCTGCGCCACCGGGGCTGCCCAAGGCACACGGCGGCCCCCGGAGAGCCTCGCCTCGGCCGCCGCACACCGGGGCCGGCCCGCTCCTTCCCGCGCCTCCCGCACCGGAGCTGCAGCTCTCCGCTCCGCTCGGACCGGCCCTCGCCCGCCGCCGCTGCTGCCCTGCCCCGCCGCCGCCTATTCCTTCCCTTGCCGCCAAGAAGCGCCGCTTCCTCTTCCTCCTCCGCTTCCGCCGCCGCCACAGCGGCCCCCGCCGGCCGGCAGCCCCCGCAGTGATTGACAGCTGTCAGTCACCGGAAAGGGGCCGATGCTGATGGCAGTGGCAGGAAACTCTCCCGGGGTTCCACCGCAGCGGCGCTTCCCCGCAGGACACAGAATCCCAGAATTCCTGAATGGAAGGGACCACAGTGGGTCACTGGTGGCTCCTCCCTGCTCCAGCAGGGCCATCCCAGAGCACAGGGCTCAGGATTGCATCCTGACAAGTCTGGGATATCTCCGGTGGGGGAGATCCCGCAGCCTCTCTGGTCTCTGCTCAGGGCTGGGCACTGCCCAGGGCAGGAGTTCTGCCTCCTGTGCCGGGAGAATTCCAGGGATCGGTCCCTGCCCGTGGCTCTGGTGCCACAGCTGGGGGCCTGGAGCACAGCCTGGCCCTGCTGTGACCCTCCCTGCACCCAGGGGCACCAAGGGACAGCCAGGGACACACAGAGACACCCAGGGACACTCAGCTGGGTCTCCTCTCCAGGCTGAGCAGCCCCATGTCCCTCGGCCCTTCCTGGGCACAGAGATGCTACAGGCCCTTGCTCAGCTCCAGGAGCTCCTGTCCCTGCTGTGCTGAGGATGATCCAGAGCTGGACACAGCACCCAGAGGTAACTCTAGAGCTGAGCACATGGGCAGGATTGTCCCCGACCTGCTGGGAATGCTCTTCCCAAGGCACTCCGGGATCCCATTGGCCTTTTTTCCCCAGCACACTCTGCTGGCTCAGGGACAGCTCATTGTCACCCAGGACCCACAGTTCCTTCCCCTTCCATCTATCCATCCAACCCCCAGCCTGTGCAGGTACCTGGGGTTGGTCCTCCCCAGCTGCAGCACCTACACTTGCCCTTGTTGAATTCCAGACATTTCCTCTCTTCCCATCACTCCAACCTGCCGAGATCCCTCTGAGGGGCCACACAGCCCTCGGGGTGCTCAGCCATTCCTCCCAGCTTTGAGCCCTCACCGACCCCTTCACCCAGGCCAGCGATGAAGCAGGGAAACAACACCGAGCCCAGCAGAGCCCGTCCTGCAGCCACACCCCACTCCCCGATCCTCCGGGAGCTGCCACTCAGCCGCTGCCCAAGCCATCCCACCGCCCATCCATCCATGCATCCAACCAACTCATCCCGGCGGGGGCTCAGTGCCGTCCTCCCAACCATCCCTCCGCCCATCCATCCATCCATGCATCCAACCAACTCATCCCTCCTGCAGCTCGGTGCCGCCCTCACAACCATCCCTCCATCCATCCATCCATCCATCCATCCATGCATCCAACGAACCCACCCCTCCAGGAGCTCAGTGCCGCCCTCCCAACCCATCCCTCC